GGTAGAGAAACTAACACCCTCATATACAGCTGGTAGAAATGTAAACAGAACCACCACTTTGGAAAATAGTTAGGCAGTTCCTCAAAATGTTAAACGTTGGAGTTACTATATGACCCAGCAATTCAACTCCTAGGTATACACTCAAAAGAAATAAAATCTATTTCCACACAAAAGTTTGAACATGATTGTTCATGGCATCATTATTCAAAAAAGTAAAAATGTGGAAATCCCAACATTCATCAACTGATGAATAGATAAACAAAATAGGTGTACAATGGAAGATGATTCAGCCATAAAAAGGAATGAAGTAGTGATTGATTCATGCACAACCTGGATGACCCTTGAAATGTATACTTTAAATGGACATGGCACAATAAAGTTGTTTAAAAAGAACCTGAATATACATTTTCAGGGACTACTGATATACTCCATCTTTGAACTAGATCTAGAGGGAAACAGAAAACTCCACTGTAACTGGTACTGAGATGACAATGTGTCATTAAACATCAGAGATGCTATTAGTTCAGTTCGAAAGATCTGTGCTTCCAGACACTACAAATTTAATGGTAGCTAATAATGGCAAGAACTACTGATCTGATCTAAATTTCTACACTCAAATTCAAGCCGTACAATTCTAAGTAGATAACCCAATAGAAGGTGGTCAGGGGTTGAGAGTAATATTAATTGCTAGAGGACTGGACAATAGAAATAATTTATGTAAAATATTCTTGAAATCTTGAGAAATACATTCTGACTGTAACTTACAATTGTTTGAAAACTTATAAAGGAATAGTAGAAAACAACTTCTATGTACTCAAGGGCATACATTTGATATCATTTCATACTATCTTTGACTTGTGAAGAAAAGTACTGCATGCTGATCAAATGAAAAGAATGCCCTTTTATGAAAGTTGCTTAACCATGTCCTAGACAAAGGAATTCTGATCTGGTTCAATAAGTAAAAAGTGCTTTAAGTCACAGAGATGAGACGCTAATCTGAGGATCAAACAATAAACGTTCCTCAGCTTCAGATGCCCGCTCTCCAGTGGAACCCCACAGCATGCATGTGATATTTCACTTTATATTCCCCCTATTAATACAATGATTGAAACTGTCATGCATGTATCTTTAAGAACTTTCTGTTCAACATTATGTACATTCAATTCTAGATGACCCACTCTGACCATTAATAAGCCAGCTTCTATATGGCCAACAGCCACCCCACTCAAAACTATACATTATGCATTGATGCTGCCTTTATTTTGTTTGTTTGTTTGTTTTTTTTGTTTTTTTGATGCTGCCTTTAAAGGGGGGTAAATGTAAGTGTTTATAATATACACTATACACACATATATAAACATACACATCTTAACTTCCTAATAGGAAACAATCTTGTCACTTCAGAGACCCTGATAACCAAAAACTAAAATTACCCTAGTCTCTTTGACACATGAAACTCAAGAGCCTTTCCATAAATATTTCTCAGGCACCCTTCCACAACATACCTGTTAACTCCCAAAATACAAGCTGGAATCAAGGTTGCAGGGAGTAATATCAATAACCTCAGATATGCAGATGACACTACCCTATGGCAGAAAGCAAAGAGGAATTAAAGAGCCTCTTGATGAAGGTGAAAGAAGAGCGTGAAAAAGCTGGCTTAAAACTCATTCACCCTGGAGAAGGAAATGGTAACCCACTCCCAGTATTCTTGCCTGGAAAAGTCAAGGGACAGAGGAGCCTGGCGGGCTACAGTCCATGGGATTACAAGCTGAACATGCATGCATGAGGGTGGAGGGAGATGGGTTGGTAGCAATAAACTGGTAGAACTAAGAAAAAACAAAAAACCAAAAACTCAACATTCAAAAAACTAAGATCATGGCATCTGGTCCCATCACTTCATGGCAAATAGATGGGGAATCAACGAAGACAGTGACAGACTTTCTTTTCTTGGACTCCAAAATCACTGCGGACAGTGACTACAGCCATGAAATTAAAAGACGCTTGCTCTTTGGAAGAAAACCAATGACAAACCTAGACAGTATATTAAAAAGCAGAGATATTACTTTGCCTCAAAGGTCCGTATAGTCAAAGCTATGATTTTTCCAGTAGTCATGTACAGATGTGAGAGCTGGACAATAAAAAGGCTGAGTGCCAAAGAATTGATGCTTTCAAACTATGGTGCTGGAGAAGACTCTTGAGAGTCCCCTGGACAGCAAGAAGACCAAAACAGTCAATCCTAAAGGAAATCAACTCCTGAATATTCACTGGAAGGACTGATACTGAAGCTGATGCTCCAATACTTTAGCCAACTGATGCAAATGACCAACTCACTGGAAAAGATTCTGATGCTGGGAAAGACTGAAGGCAGAAGAGAAGGGGATGACAGATGATGATGGTTGGAGGGCATCACTGACTCGATAGACATGAGTGTGAGCAAACTCTGGGAGATGATGAAGGATAGGGAAGCCTGGAGTGCTGCAGTCCATGCAGTTGCAAAGAGTTGGACACGACTGAACAACCACCACCACCAGCAGCTTAAGGGTCCCTCCAAATCATGAAGAAGGAAGAAGGGAAGAGAACATCAACTGTAGTAATCTGATTACCCCTCCTCAAAACACCCTGGTTCCACAGCAAGACGGGTTAGAGAGAGGCAGAAAGTATAAAATGCCAGCTACTGGTAGTTGCCATCTTGCCTCAAGGGAAGGGATAAACGGTACTCTCTAAGGCTGAATCTACGCATCAATCAGGATTTCAGTAACCTTTATTATGTGTGCCGCTATGATAAACTTACCTCAACTAAATCATTAGGACTAAGCAAATAAGGTCAGTAGAATTAATAAACTGGTGGAATTAAGCCCCAAAGGTTAACAGGAACAGGAGTATACTTTCTGAAAAACTAAGAGGTAGCTCTTCACTCAAGAGGTTGAAGTCAAAGTTCTTTTCTTGCCATAGCAAAGAAACTATTATACTTTAGGGAGAAAGGAAACAAAGCCAGAAGCAAATGTTATGGATGCAGCAGAACAGGATCCCAAACAGGACTTCAAGAGGATTTGATTAGGTATATTTAACTATTCAAACAAAGGGAAATTCAGAAACAGCATAGTAAGATTTTAAAACCCTAAGTGATTATCTCTCAGGAGGAAGATTAGGATTTAAGGAATAGTCTAGCTAGATTTCTACAAACCAAACAGCCTCTCATGAAACACTTATATTCCAATTACCAGAGGAGAAACCAAAAATAAAAGGAAATGCCCCACAGAGACGCAAACAGTACAGAATCACTGGGCAAATGACTTGGAAAATTGAATATCCAAGCAACTCAATTTATAAAGAAAACTAGAAAGAATATCAGAAAAGTGGGAAAAAAACCACAGCAGAGAGGAAAAGTGGAAAATACAGAATGAGAAACTCAAAGGAAAAGCCTTACTCTGAGACAGTCACCTCAAATCTTACAATATTAACAGAAAATGCCATAGAACTGGAACCTCCAAATTACCAACTAACCCAAAAACAAGATTGACATTAAGCCTTTCCTTTCAAAGCTCCATCAAGATATTTTCATCAGCCAGATAATTACATTTTCCAAGCACCCAGCTGAATTGGTAAGCTCCATACAGTGCACCATAAAGAGACATAAATGCTTCATTTCAGGTTGACATAAATGAGAACAGTGTCTCGAACAATTTCCATCCTACAGATTCTTTCCACCAAGGCACAGCTATCCTAATCTCTTTGGGCCTCAATTTCTAAGCTGTAAAATGTGAGAGCCAAACTTGGTGAGATGAACTATAGGATCCTCTCTGTTTTTCAAGACTTTACGCCTAATTATAAAGTCTGCTAGAGGTATAAAATATGAGTCTGAGAACAAACCATTTAAGTTTATACTGTCATTCCACAGCTAACCACAGGGAGGAGCGAGGGATTTGAAGAAATTCCCAAGGGAGACAGTATTTGGCTGCTACCTGAAGCCCACCCAGTTTAAGTGGATAAACCCTCCATCCCAGACATAATTAAGAGTATTTCCCTGGCTCCTCTGCCTAGACCTCACAATACTCTTCACAAAAACAGGTTTTACACATGTCTTTCTCCCTTTCCTTCCTACCATAGTTTTCTCTATTCTCCTTTGTAGTTTCATATCCATTTGCCCAACACTATTCCTCTTAATCCAGAATTTTTCCATTTTATCAACAGTGCAATTTTCTATAAAAGGATAATAAGTTTCCTGTAGATTAAGATTAAAAAAAGTTTTTGATTGAAAATCAAGGAAATTATAAACTACAACAAGCACACGCAAATGACAACTACTAAGTTGTAGAGGAATTCCGAGTAAGAAAAAAATAATTAGGCATAATTCTAAAAGAAATTAGAATGACTGACACCTATTCAAGTTTTCCAAAGGCTAGGAAAGGCCCTGAGGGAAAAAACAAACGAGTGACAATTCTTAGAGGTCAAGTCAAACCTCTGAAATTAACATGTGGTGCCCAGAACCAGGCAACTAGGTAATGTGAATTTGAAACAGACTATTTGCCTGGCTTCCTTTCACTGTCAAACTCCTCGTCCAGAAAGAGCTCTCATACCACATTTTTTCTTAAAGTACAGTCATTCACATCTATCCGCCTCTCCTGGGGAAAAGTCAATGGATAAATAGTCCCTCTCTTCTTTACTCCTACACTAAACCTCACACCGTTTACGAGCCTGGAAAGCTGGGTTGGCACGAGAGGATGGCGCGAAGGCACAGGGAGGTAGGTCAGTTGGCGGAAGGTGCCTCTCCCCACATGGCTGAGCGCTCGCCGCCAAGCTGGCCACCGTCACACGGTCCCCGAGCACCAGCAGGTCGCTCTTGGCCCCGACCCCGCTCTCGCGGTCTCCTCACAAACTGCCGCTGCGGCCACAGCCTCTCGTTTAGGACCCTCCCCCGGGGATGACCCCATCCCCCCGCTCCCTTTCTCCGTCGGGTTCCCGCCCTGCAGCCGCCAGCCTATGGGCCCCTCCCGCCTCACCTCCATGGAGACGCGCCAGCCTTGCATGGCGGAGAAGCCGTAGGGCAGCGGCAGGCGCGAGGCGCCGACCCCGTCCCCAGAGCACTTCACCGTGTTGGGCTGAGAGAGGTAGGCACCCATGGCGGCGGCTGACCGGCGGCCTCAGGGGCAGGCGAACGAAGCGCGACCCGTGCCGGCGCCGGAGCCGGGGCCCCGGGTGCGCGCGTGGCAAGAGCTAGCTGAACTGCGCGGCCGACGCAAGGTGCCGGTGAAAGGCGCGAGGCGGGCCAGGAGGCGGTAACGGGACGGCAGCAGAGAGGGAGCGGAAGCGGAAACGGCGCCGCTTCAGACCCCGCCCGGCCGGCGCGGCGCGGCGCGGTGCGGCGCTGCGGGCAGTCATTTCCTTAGCAACTCGCCCCGCCCGCGGGGACAACGGCCCGCCCAACCGCCGCTCCCGCGAGATTGGCGGAGTCACGCCCACCAACGGCCGCGGCCTCCCTGGGGCGGCCTCGTAGGTTTCTCTTAACCAGTAGCTCTCACTAACTGTCCCCCGCTGTCCCCCGCCTCCGCTCCCCTAGCCTGGCCTCTCGCGTTTTGTCTGAGGCTCTTTTGTGTGGGACTGGGCACTTCCGGTTCATCCTCTAAAGTGTCAGCTCTCTCTCCGCCTCGCCCTCGGACTCCCACAAATCCTCCCGCTGCGGTTCAATTAGAGTTGACTAGTATTAATAATTTGTTCTGAGCGCATGAAGTACCCTTGTGAGGCCTATGCGAATAGGATGTGAGATAGTCTTTCTGACCAAAGAAAATGAAGACCTCTCTCTGTGACCCACTCTGTGTGGGTGGAGAAGAAATGAAAAGGGAGTGGAAGAGCTATTGCTTGAGGTCCTCAGGATGCCCAGACGTGCATTATGCCCCGGGAGAAGGGAAAAATGTTACGGGGTTGCAGGGGTGAAGAAAGTGAACTGCTTTGGGGAGGGTTTTTGAGGAAGCTGCTTGCCTCGTTGGAGAGTGATTTTAAGTAGTAACATTAGATAGGAGAGAGAATGGTCGTTAAGTGCCAAAATGGGTGGCTTGGACTTAAGTGTTATCCTGGTGGAGCCTTTGGAGATTATTGGTTTAGTCTTTGTGTGCAGTGTGGTTTGGAGAGAGAAAGCCTGGAGACTAACTGGTTAAAGGGCTCTTAATCTAAGGGTGAGAGAGAAAGGCTGGGACTAAATTGGTGGCAATGGGAACAGAGATAAAAGAAAAATTAGACAAAACGAAATGGACAGGATTTAGTAATAGGTTGGATTCAGGGGATGGTAGAGAAAGGAAAAATTCTCAAAGGATAAACATTATTTTAAAATACAAAACTAATCATGGCTTCCTCCTGCTCTTCAGAAAGTTCTAATGCCTTAACTTAGTTGACCAGACCTTTCACACTTGATTCAATTATTGCATGTCTCTCCCACTTGCTCTCGTTTCTGCCACCCAGTGCTCCAGCAATATGTCTTTGGGTTTCTCCATGCTTCGTCTTCCTGTGCTTTCACCCATGGAATACACCTCCCCACCCACCCCCATCTTTACTTCCTTTCAGAATTCTTTTCTAGCATCCCTGCATTGGTTTGGATCCCCACTTGTCTTTTCCTGATAGACTATAAGCCTGCGAGAAGGCAGAAGCTCATGTCAAACTTTTGACATTCTATACCCCAGCATCCCTAGCACACTTCTTATCTGTGTTCAATAGCATTTAAATACTTGTTGAACGAAAGAATATAACCAAGGTTTTGACCCTGGATGACAAAAATTGGTGCAGCCATTAACAGAAAATGGTGTGATGGGGAAGTGGGGTAGTGCTAATTTGGGGAGAAAATGGTTTGATTTAAGGTAACAGCTAGATATGCAAACATCAGAAACATTGGCTTGAAGTTAAGCTATGAGGGTAGAAGATGTTAATTAGGCCGGTTGGTCATCATGAACCTGGATGAGATCTCTTATTTACCAAGGCAGTGTTAAGGGAATGTAAAATTACTCAACCTCTTTTTTTTCTTCTAAGAATTGAATGTGACATTGTGAAAAGAAAAAAAAAAAAGGAGTTTTGATAGATAATGCCTGCCTATGTGGTCTTTCACAAGTTACTTATTCTGTCTCAGACTCAGTTCCTCATCTGTAAAAGAAATACAGTATCTACTTTTCCAGATTGCTTTAAGGCTAAGAGGAGCTAAATATAAAATGCCAAGTTTGCATAAATGTTGTATTATTAGTCAACCAAAAATCTACCATTTATTAAGTATACGTATATACAAGCTAAATATAGAATGGAAATAACATTAAATTATGTTTACAAAAAATAGAAGACAGCCTGAAACAAAGTGGGAGAAAAACAGATAAGGAAAAATGTGGGAAAGAAAATATGATTAAAAGAAAAAGTGAGGCACTGGGAAGGTAGTGGTCACCCTGAGAGGAGAAATGGGGGAGACTTAGTGGCTCATGGAAGGAGATAGGGAAGAGGCAATGAATATAAAGATTTTCTTCTCCCTCCTTCACCTCCATTTCCCCCCAAACTACCACATTACAATTATGAGGACACAAAGGTTTCATGCTTTGATAGGGAGCAAAAAAAAATTTTTTTTAACTAAAAATACTCCAAAACACTGTATTTCCAGATTGATTTACCTGAGTTTGTAAACTGTGAGCCTCAAAAATCTAGCCAATCACACATGGTAGCAGAAGCAGCTTCTGAACATGTACTTTAGGGGCTGGCCTGAATGTAAAAAATATCTCTCAAATATATACCAAGTTCACTCAATAAAAAGGGATAAAGGCATGGAATTAGTTTTTTGTTGGTAGAAAATAACTAATTCTAAGAATTTGGCAATTTCTTTATATATTCACAGTATCACAGTATTGCAACTTGACTTATTTTTAAAAATAATAGTTTATTGGGGTTTTGTTTTTGTTTTTCACTTTACTGCCTGTGGGATCTTAGTTCCCCAACCAGGGATGGATTGAAACCTGGCCACAGCACTGAAAGCACTGAGTTCTTAACCACTGGCTGCTGCTGCTGCTGCTAAGTCACTTCCATCGTGTTCAACTCTGTGCAACCCCATAGACAGCGGCCCACCAGGTTCTCCCATCCCTGGGGCTCTCCAGGCAAGAACACTGGAGCAGGTTGCCATTTTCTTCTCCAGTGCATGAAAGTGAAAAGTGAAAATGAAGTCGCTCAATCATGTCCGACTCTTAGCGACCCCATGGACTGCAGCCTACCAGGCTCCTCCATCAATGCGATTTTCCAGGCAAGAGTACTGGAATGGGGTGCTTAACCACTGGACTGCCTGGGAATTCTCAATTTTTATATTTAAAATTAGATTGCTTATATTTTCTTGTCCCTCAAATTGGTCAAACATTGAAAATAAACTGACAAATACTTGTCATTTTAAAAACTTCTGTTTGTTTCTGTTAGCCTCTCATGAGCTTCTTTCCAGTTATCATAAGGAAAGAGAAGAAAGTAGTTTAAGCCAGTTTTTTAGGCATGAGTAATTGTCTACCACTGAGACATATCTGCAGATTTTGAGGGATTTAGGGACCCCACACACACAATGCCAAGGTTGGGCAACATTGCCTTAAAAGTTAAATGCTAAAAAAAAAAAAAAAGTTAAGTGCTAATTTCAGAGTATAATGTGACACTAGTTAAACTGTAAACTTAAACTTTAATTCAGGATCACTCAAAAATGTCATATGTTAATCCAGATGATCCAAAATATGCTAACAAGCTTTTATTGTAAACTTAAGGCACAATGTTTTAAAATTCTTATAGAAGTGCTTGCTTCAACAGTACGTATACTAATCCAGCAATCCCACTCCTGGACATATAGAGAAAACCACAATATCAAAGGTTACATGCACCCCAATGTTCACTGAAGCACTGTTCACAATAGTCAAGATATAGAAGCAACCTAAATATTCATTGACAGAGGAATGAATAAAGAAGATGTGGTACATATGCAATGGAATATTAGCCTTTAAAAAGGATGAAATAATGCCATTTGCAGCAACATGATGCTTTTAAACTGTTGTGTTAGAGAAGACTCTTGAGAGTCCCTTGGACTGCAAAGAGATCCAACCAGTCCATCCTAAAGGAGATCAGTCCTGGGTGTTCATTGGTAGGACTGATGTTGAAGCTGAAACTCCAATACTTTGGCCACCTGATGAGAAGAGCTGACTCATTTGAAAAGACACTGATGCTGGGAAAGATTGAGGGCAGGAGGAGAAGGGGACGACAGAGGATAAGATGGTTGGATGGCATCACCGACTCAATGGACGTGGGTTTGGGTGGACTCCGGGAGTTGGTGATGGACAGGGAGGCCTGGCGTGCTGCGGTTCATGGGGTCACAAAGAGTCAGACATGACTGAGCGACTGAACTGAACTGATTGGCAGTCATGGACTACTACTTGTGCTTTGTATCTGTGCCTCTGTGTCTGGATTAAACTGAGCTTTGAGGAATCAAATGAGAAGATATGTATTCATTGGGATGGGGCCATGTGGAGAGACTGAAGAGGTGGTGGTAAAGTTCAGGAGCCACAGTGGTTTGGAGCAGCGACAGCTGGCAAAAGTGATAGTAATTTCCAGGGAGGATCTGTGTCACACTTAAATATTCCTTAGAGATTCCTCAGTATCCTTTAAAGAACTCCTTTGCTCTGTTGGCTACTGAGAACTGAGGACTTACAAGCTGAGTCTGACAGATTGGCCCAAGAGAACTAGAGTGTTACTTAGAAAAGTCCTGCTGGTTCTTGTAGTCACCATGAGGACAGAAGTTCTTCACTGAGACTCACATGCAAAGTAACAAATGACCTCACATTTGTAATCTCTTGGTTCTATGATTTGCTAAGAGGCTTCCCAGGTAGCACAGTGGTAAAGAATTCACATGCCAATGACGCAGGAGATGTGGGTCTGATCCCTGGGGGTCAGGAAGATCCCCCTGAAGTAGGAAATGGCAACCCACTTCAGTATTCTTGCCTGGAAAATTCCATGGACAGGGAAGCCTGGTGTGGGCTACATGGGGTCGCAGTGTAGGACATGCCTGAGTAGTTGAGCACATACACACACATACACCCGGTAGTAATAGGAAACCTGCCAGCTGGAATCCTGCTACCCTCTCCAC